GACGTTCAGTGTATCTTAGTTAAACACATGGCATTTATTTTGATCAAGCTGCTAGCTCTTCATTAGAGAAACGTTCTACGTTTCCTAGGTCAGAAACGTGCACAAGATTAATCCTTTTTTCTTGCTTTTTGTTTTTTTTTCGTTTTCTTCGAGTGTTTCGTCCCTTTGCCCGCTTTGTAGTACAAACTCGAGTGTGCTTTGTGAGAAGCTGGGGGGGAGATAAGTTTCAAGGCACACAAGAGAAAGACAACGCTTCGCCAGACAAGAGGGAAGATCTTTAATGATATAACACAAATATATGTAACAAAGTATTCTGCGAAAGTATCTATTTCTAGCAGATAAAGAAAGAAAAGAATTCACACACCCCACGAGTGCAACTGCGTAACCGAGCATTTCGTTTAAAACGTGTTTGTTCCAGAGGAAATGCCAAACAACGTACAACGAAACGCGCAACAAAAAAATTGCAATTATCAATTTTTTGGAATACACAAATTGGACTTGGCTGGATAGGAAAATACAATACTCGAGAGGGTATTCGAGCAATTTGAAACGGCACGTACGTTCTATTGCGCCGCAGTGAAAGTAATTAAACAACGAGAAGGTTTCGTCCCTATTACATGGCTTAACGTTTCGCAGATTACACTGTGGGACACAATATGGTGAATTGTTCCTCGCTCGCTTGGTCGTGTATCGTGCTTTCAGCCGTGTGTAATCCCTCGTCGCGTAAATATACGCAAGGACGCGAATGGAAACGGTGCAAAAAAAAAAAAAAACGATTTTGCGTCGCGGGGTTTGTCGTCGCGAGGAAAGCGCCCTGTGTGACACTCGTGACTAATCATTGTTACCGTGAATGACACACGGTCCAGAGGCGAGCTTTATGGTGACGGGTGTAAAGGCGGATTGACACAAGGGTTCCATTTCATCCGACAAATTGGACGGAATTGGACGCGATCGAAACTTCGTTACTTAAAGTTAAATTGACGAAAATCAAGTTTTCCGATCCTACTTGCGGGACTACTATCGCGCCGAATGCGAGTCGCGACGAAAAGCTATGCACGCGATCAAAATGGTCGCGACTCAACTTTGATGGATTTCGCACGGAATTGGCCGTAATGCATCACGAAGTGTGGAATTTGCACAATTTCTCATCGCTGCATTGCCGACAAATCGCGTTGGCGAGCAAAAAAATTGCATCGTATAAATTACGATGGAATATATGTGTGTGTGTTTCATGTGTGTACATATACATATATATATATATATATATATATATATGTATAAGTGCGCAGGAAGCATAATTATTAAAATCTCATATTTTCTAAAGTAAAGAAGCGCACAAAATGCAATCTTCAATCTTTTCATAAAACTACGGATATTACGATGTGTTTTTTTTTTTAAGGCAATAAAGTCGTGTTTTATAAAAGATTACGCATTTAATTCAAGCGCCAACTTTTTTTTTCGCGGATTTGACGCGATTTTGTTATAGCACAGAACGTGGGCGGACGTACGACGCGCGTCTCTTCATCTCCGCGCGTCACAGTAATTTGCTATATCCATCATTTATTTCCTTTTTCCTTCGCGCGCGACAAAGCTTTATGAATATTCGCACTGTGCGAAAGTGCTCGATAAAATAGAAATATCGGCTATATTAAGGCCATCGGAGCACGTCGTCGTCACGGCAATCGCGGACTACTTAAAAAAAAAAAAAAAAAAAAAAAAAACGCAAAAATAAAAATGAATTTGCCGGCGTATTATGACATCTGAGTGCCACTCGAAACAGTTCGCGGCGCTCTTTGATTTCTCGAAGCGGGCGTGGAGTAATGAGCCGTCCCCGACTTTCAATGCAATGAAAATATTAGTTCTGACGGTTTCCCTCGAGGATCTCATCTAACCGCTGTGTAATTAAAAGATAAGATTTTTACTTGACGGTATATCATCCGCTTAAATGTTCGATGTGCATTTCAATTGTCCGTCGAGTTTACACATAGTGTAATAAATACAAATAAAAGTATAAATACGAATAAAGTACAATAATAAAAATATAAATTTATATTGGTGCAATTAAATTTTCGTTAAAATAACAAAAACAAATGTTAAAAGAGACGAGACGATTCACTCTCAGTATTAATAAACCGACATAATATCTTCCTCTATATGACCCTATAAATCGAGAAACATATTATCTCACATAAATGTGTCTTCCTACAAGCAGTAGAATGACCTTCCGCTGCCAATCTAGAGCGACCTCCTATCGATTTTGGCTCCAATCGAAATGTGACTGCTCAAACGTTGGTCAAACATTCTCCACACTGCCAAATTTCCCTTATTTTTCTCCTTCACATGAATAAAAAAAAAAAAGATACATGTTCGCGAAATGCTTTCGTCGGTTTCTGTTTATCTAGACAATTTATCTAGACAAAAAAAAAAAAACAATTTTGACGGCCTCACTTTTCACTTCACACGCTCCATTAAATAAATAAATTGTTCTATAGTTAGAACAATCTTTAAACGAATTAAAATATCCATTATATTACTTTGTTCTCTTTGACATCGCCGACTGATATTCAGCGAAATTTCTATTTTCTATCACTATCGCGCGCGCACCCCGCGCAAACGACATCATCTCACGCACGAGAAAGTTAGAAAGCAATTTAACTACTTACGCACTCTCGACGCAAATTAAACCGCTTTTCCCATTTTCCTCCGTTTTGTGTGCACACATAATTTCATGAATAACAGTTAGCGTGTATTATGTTATCGTTAGACGAGTTGAAAATTAAGATGTGTAGCGAATTCAATGTGACCGGTGAAACAATGCGCGCTCAGAATTGACGGCGCGACAAGCTCACAACGCGCTTGTAGCTATCTCGCTTATATATATGCGCTAACAATAATCTTAATCCACAACGTGAAATTGTTCTTTGTGAGAGAACTGCACATTTAATTCGCAGCAATATGATTCTCTCATAACGCGCGCGACAAGATACGTTAACGCGCGAACGAGAGATTAACTTGTTATCCCGATTCTCCGCAGATCATCTCTCTGATCCAGTTTCCAACATGCGAGAAGAGGGGAGAGAAGGGATGGATTATAAGCAATTATTAGTAAATGTTGGCACAGATAATTCTCTACAATCCCTGAGCTAACCATCATTTGGAACACTATAATCTAATTTTCTTGATAGATCGTATTAAAACTTCGGATGCGATTATGATCTCCAACTAAGCAATTTGCGACGTCGACGCGACGTTGCTCTCTCTCTCTCTCTCGTCAGTTTAAACTTATATACATACATAAACACATATACATAAACATTGCGCATTATCCAGAGAACAGACGTTTTTGAACGAAGCAAATTATCGAATTTACACAACACATTGTTGTACAAATTATTGAACATACCGGGCGCAAATAAATACAGACGTGTATAAATCAAAATATTAGTAATTCCTGTGTTAAATTAGCACTTATAAGTATAATTTCACATTGATGCGTTTTACTTGCGAGTTAGTAATTATTTCGATTGTCACTTCTCACGATGCAGCGCAACAAACGAATATCACACGTGTCAGTTGTAATGAATTATGTTATTTATTGGATATGAAGTTTGAGAAATTGTACCTATCAAATATATATGCGCGATGTATACATATATGTGTATAAATGGGACGTACATTTGTTTTTTTCAATGAAAACAGTATCAGATTTTGTGGGAAATGGTGCAGATATGCGACGATTCAAAGTACATTTGACTGGTTTCAAAACAACATTACTTTCAGCAATTTCAAATCCAAACTTTATTCAATGTATAAGAATGTTGTGTTTTCATCAATAGTCCATATTCAAGCATAACTTTACCTCGAATATATTGGAAACATTAATATTCCGTTTTTTCCCCGTCTTTTTTTTTTTCAACGCGATTTATTTCTTCGCTGTATAAACATTACAAAATACGTAATAAATCATGAAAGACAAAAACATGAAAATAATGAAATTGAAACGGTATTAGCAAGAAAGCCACCCTAGCCGTTTGCAATTTTTCTCATTACTCGGCAGGCGCATAATACTCGCGCGCACATGTAAGTCAGTTTTAATTAACACAATGATTTATTATGATAGCAATTGTATAATAAGTTGTGAATCCGCGCAAGTCGGAGAGTAATTTCGTCTGCAACACCGTTAAGGTCTTAAATAAATGTCCCGTATGAGTGTTCCAAGCGTTGTTCTCTTGAGAAGAATTGCCCATACAAGCGTGCTGAATGGTGCCATAATTCTCGTAAAATGCGGGCCGTAATTTACGACGAAAATCTAAGCGCCGCGCAATAACTATCGGCTTATTGCCACATGATTATACCAAATCGTACGCGCACTGTTGTACACGTCGCTGCGCCGGATTCCGCGTAATTTGTGTTTCCGCCACATTAATAACGCGCGATTTATACACACCGATACGTATCAATCTTGCGAAACACGTTTATAAAAATTACGTACGTCCTCTTCCGGCGAAGTAGTTCCACAAAGATATCGAAATTGCCTCGATACACGAGTGTTGAATTATGTATGAGATATATTTTGTAGCGCGCGCATGCACTTTTAAATAGAACACGTCACATGTTAGCTTAAATTCGATTAATATTTTACAAGCGGATATAGGAGAAAGATTAATGTTGTTTACATAGTTTCTTTTATTTATAAAAGCTAAAATTGTTGAAACTGTTATTTTTTTTATATAAGATTTTGATATTTTTCTCTCGTGTGTTTGCTTGAAATTTAATATATTTTAATATATGGAAATGCTTTATAAACGCGCGTATCAATGCGTTTTAAATATTTCTTTCATTTCTCTACGTCAGAGAGAATTTCAGTTAAAATATAATAACATGGAATAGCCACGTTGATAAAACGAAAAGCACTTCAATTGCTTACGCATCAATAAATTTCACAATTTCACATGAGAATTTCTTTAATTTTCATGACCATTTCCATTGTCTTATTGTAGAATCAAGCGGTGGCAGTGGCGCTAGAACTTCTATTAAATAAACGCGAAGTACCTCTTCCAACGTCAACCACGTCGTCTTTGTGAGTATATTCACTAAAAACGTTTCTTTTAGTAAAGCGAATTGTATTCATGTAATTTAGTGGAAAGTACAAAATAGATAAATAAGTACCGTAATAATCATTTTGAAATGTTGTAACTTAACTTTCGTACTGCTAAAAGTTGCTAAGGAGCCACTTATAAATTCGTGAACTTTTTGTGGACGCATTAACAAGTCGAGTCTTTTGCGTCATATTTTAATCGCAAAAAAGCTTAAATATTGCGCAATATATTTTTTTGAGATTGTACACTCTTCAAAATTCGTTAAATAGATTAAATGTTTGAATAAATTTAAGTAAGAGAAGTTGCAATAATTAAGGCAAGCGTAAAACAAAATTTTTCAGAAAATACGTTACAAAAAGCGTGGAAATTAAAAACTTTAAAAATGTAACATAATTTTAAAATATTTACCGATAATTACAAAGTGACACTTCTTTTTTGCAAAATTTTACTCTTAAAATTATAATTAAACTGATGTGCGATTTTCTGGTAATATCGTGCTATTTTAACATTTCAGAGAAAAACTTCAAGTGAACGTCGACGAGGAGGAGAATTACAATTTCCTGGAAGATATTTACGAGACATTAAATTACGATTGTGGTAAGATAACATATATGACTGCAATCGAATTAAACAAATATAGAGAATTGAATATAACTGTCCGTAAAACTTCATTACGTGTATAAAAAGAGAAGCGACTTGGTGCGGTATTGTTATTTAAAGAACAAAGGTGACTTTTTTTTTCGTAGAAAACGTGCTATTTTTATTTACCGCGCGACGCAATTGTTGTGGTTACTTTAAAACGAAAAAACCAGAAGAAACATTTTCTGACACAGAATTTCTCTTGTTCAGTTTATTACGTAGTGTGCACGGAACACACAGCGCGCACTATCGGCTATACAAAAGCATGTGAGCTTTGCACCAATAAAAAAAAAAAAAAAAGAGAGCAGATACAGAAGTAAAGAGAAAAAGCACAAAACTCACCATAAAATAAGTTCGATGTGGTCACGTGTTAGAACGGTTACCAATAAGCTCAAAAGTACATGTTGCGGTAATCCCGCGAGCACATCATAGCCCCGTACATCACTGTCGCAAAGATGATTGATGTGTGTATCGATTTCAAATAAGACCGTCTAACGTTTAACATCGGTGCTCTCTCGACCGACGTTAAGACGATTATCATAAATTGTCTTTAATAGCCAAATTACAAAGAGAATTATCGCGTCGACACGCGTGGTCTGCTCCGAAAGCTCAAGACTACCAATACCGGAATTATACACGTTAACACTTGCTACGAACCAAAAGCACGTGGTATTTTTAATTTGTCATTAGAACTTATTAATATTTTACGCTTCGAGATACGTATTTTAATATTTACGTATTGGCAAACATGTTTTTTCAAATATAATTTATTATAAGTTATATAATTATGCTACACGTAAGCGATGTAAAAAGTATAGAAATTGCACAAACTTTGATTTAGTAGGCTGCAGAATGTTATGGTTGTTTTATACGGGTTTGGTTGTGTTAAGTGTTTTTTTTTTTTTTTTTTTTTTTCTGATTACACGCTGTTTTGCAGCAAGTAATAAATTCGGAACGTCCATGTTTTGCTGCGCTACAAACGTCACCTTTATGCGATTTTTGCATTTTTTTCGCACCATTGTCTGGTTTGGTTCTGCCGGGCAACTGATAACGCGAGAGAATCCGTTAATACAGGCTTGACCGAGTTTCTAATTGAATGAGTACACGGAAAAACCGGCGCAAAAATCAATCGATATTTAGCACGTCTCGTAAATGAAATATATCTAGCAACTAAGACTCACAGAACACAATGTAATCCATCAATTTACCAATTGCCATATATATATATATATCGGTGACTTTTTTCCTCCGACCTACGCTCCGAACTCGCACCGAAAAAAAAATTAATGGCTTCTCTCCGGGAATAGGGAAGAGAACAAACTCAGAGAAGCATCACGAGAATTAATAACATTATCATTACAAATGATCGACGCGAACATTGTGCAAACATCTGACGTAGCCCTTTAATGTACATATGTATTTGCGATAAAAGTTAAAACGCGGAGGCTGTGAACGTTGTTATCTCAACAAATAAAGCTCGGACCCGAGGCGCGCGCGCGCGCGCGCGACAGTCCTTCGTATTCAAATTATTCCAGCTTTGCTAAATGTATTCGTCCCGGATCCTCCTCGTTTATACGCGTTCCAGTTTTCCCGGCAGCTGCATAGAGCGACGCAATCTGGCGTTGTGCGATAGTGTTTTAATTTTGTCCTGGATTTTTAATTTCTCTGCCTCACATACGTATATAAATTTTGCTTCGTATAATTTTTTGACTTGAATTCAAAATGTAACCACGAAGAAGAGAGATAATTATTTCACAGAGAAACGAGATGCCCTAATATTAGCTCTAACGATAACGCTTACGCTGACGTTTTCTCCCTTGATAAAGCGTATATAATGACACGTATAATACGAAGGCAATGTGGCGCGTGTAAAGAAGAAGATTAATTAATTAATTGCTTAATTTTTTGCGTAGATAACGCGAATATACGTATACTAATAAAACGCATATTTTTGTGATTTCTCAAATTTGTTGTTTTTATTATCTACTCTTCGTTATTCGATAGTTTGATCAAACTCGATAATATAAACCCGCGCGTATCGAAATTTCTGAGACAGTATGTGCTGCCAGAGACCGGAAACTATTAAGCGACGAAATACCTTTATCGATACTTCGATCGCACAATTTGATACGATTTTAACGAGGATGCAAAGCAGAGAGAGATAGAAAGAGAGAGAGAGAGAGAGAGACAGAGATCTGCACAAGGCGGCCATGTGTGAAGGTTTCCTGGTATTAACGCGCGCGAAGGAACCTCCGGATAGGGTAATATGTACTCCGAAAGATTAATGAACTAGATGAGCCGGGTCTCGGGAAAATCATGTTTGCGACGCTATACATCGCTTTGCCGCCGCTATGTACGACGGATCGTATCTTCCGCACGCAAGCAGCTCCCTTATATTGATTTAACTCCACATGCGATAACACGAAACGAGAGAGACATTTTCTTCCCGTCCGGGGAACGTCTTTCTCAAGCTGAGCTCTCAGAAGAAGAAATGACGTCGGTTCTCTTGGGAATTTGTCATGCAGTTACGTGTCTCTATGGTCCTTTAAAGATAATCGCGTATTATAAATGATCTGTAGAACCCGGCGAATTTTCAAACCGACAAGCTCCCGCATAAAAAGTCGAAGCGGGGAACGGATGACGCCGCGCCAGTCGTAACTGAATATTTCATCGGTAGTGGATATAGAAAAGCCGCGGAAAGGAGAAACGAAAAATATATTCCGCGTCCAGTAACTCGATTCTCGCATCGTAAAAGTTCTTTCGATGATGCTTAGTTCCGACTTCGAACAATATAACAGTATTGTGCAATTCCCCCATTGTGTATTTCATTACAATACAATTTTTATTCTCACAGAATTTAAAATTCCGTTCCGACATCGCGGATCGACTCTTTCGCCGCTTTCTATTTTCTTTTGTTATATCAACGAAATTTGATTAATTTTGTTGCAATAATATTGGCTTTTCTAAACCGCGTAGCGCGCGCGCGCGCGCGCGAGTATTTAATTATAAACTTTGTTAATAAATTGTTCTCAGATCTCTTAGATTAGATAACGTTCTTGTTACAAAATTTTTCTCCTAACGTATTTAATAACGCAAATTAATTTTCAAAATAGCGCGTAAATAACGGATGAGCACGGTACCTCTGGCTCAAGTTACCGCAAGTTACTCGCGAATTACGTTCAAGTTGTTTGAGTAATCTAAAATAAAAGAAGAAGAGGGCAACATGGGCGCGCGAGTGAAAGAAAGCGTATTTCATTACAGAAACAAGAACAAACTATAAATATTATATTCTCGAAAAAGAAGTTATTAAAATCTCGTGGAAAAAACTCGATTACAGCTGTCGCTCGAGATATATATCTACTTGCGCGTCTGAACATTTTTTTAAATCTCTTTCTCTCTTTCTCTCGTATAATTACAGACTCGGTTTTAAAGAGTTGACAACAACAACAACAACAACAACAACAACAACACATCGCCGGCTTAAATTTAAAAACTTCGCATAATTGGCAGTCGTGGATTCTCGATGGATAACCGAGGGAGAACAAGAGTAATCGAGACTGCCTGTTTGACAGCGATGTTGACTGTCAGATGGTTTTGCGCGATCCTTCATCTTCGAGCGCATGTTAACCCAATTTGCACTCGGCCGTTCGAGTACTGTAGTTACACTGGAGTATGCTTCAGAAACGTCCCATTAATCATCGCGGACAATCGATATGTGCGAGTGCATCGCAATGTGTGTATTCGGATCTGACTTCCTGATCGGAACTTATGAATGAGGCTCGGTCGAACGTAGAAAACAAACGGAGACAACAGTTCGTCGTTCGCGTGTAAATGCCAAACCCTTTGTGACTAATGGCCTCGAAACGTATACGCGGACGGAATTTAGCGCTCGTAACTTAAGAAATATGCCTCCCTAACGTAATAAAAGCTCGAGTGCGATAGTTACGTAACCGCGTTGGGGCAAAATGCTGCGCGCTCCCTTGTGCGAGCACCACCCATAAGCAATTATGTGAAACGCCTGTTTATCCGCCATAAAACATGTAATGCACCGTGGTTTTTTCTGTTAAATATATCGCCAACTTATCTCCTGCGTCAAGACGCGCGCTCCTTTGACGACGACGACGACGACGACGACGACGCGACGACAACGACAACGACAACGACGACGGGTGGCGTACACGTACATATTCTCGGTCGAAGTGATCTCTCTTGTACCCAAGCATGTAATTCTGGAAAAAAAAGGACAAGGGTGATGTTGTTGTATAGCGCGTGTACTTTCAAGTTCAAACAAAATCGCGCGCGGTCTCGTTTTTTTTTTTTTTTTTTTCTAGAATATAAAGGCGCGCACCGTGAAGAAATTACCATCCTGGTGGAATCTCTCTTGCCTCCCTTTTGCCTCCGCTCTTTTCTTCATCCCGTGTTATAGCAATTACCTTGCTCCGGCTCTTGAATATCGAAGTTCACTGCTAAAAGCGCAGGCCGCGCTTCTTAATGCAATTTATGCGATTCAGCGCATACAAACGGGGGAACATAACGCACATAACGTATAGGGGATATTTTAATCGCGTTTAATAAATTATGTGATTAATAAAAACAATAATTAAGATTAATAAAGATAACAATAATAATAAATAATATATCTATTTACTCGTTACAATTGTTTGCGTCGCTTGAAAATCGCTAGACGGTTAAATATCCGCGCGCGCGCGCGCGCAGTCGATTAGCTACGTCGAGCAATATATATATATATATCTATATAAACGCTGCGCGTACGTAACGGTATATGATAAACTGCATTTATCGCCCGCTGACAAATACGCACCGTCGTCGTTTATCAAGCGACAGGAAAACACGTATTTTTGCTCACTAGAACTCATCGACGAGACAAATCGCGAGCATAAGCCACCCATTACTCTCTCCCCTTACTGTGTTCCTTCTTCCATCTCACCTATCCCCGGTATGAGTCGCAATTCCTTTTCATCCTTCCGCTCGTATAACGCGCGATCACTTCGCATTTCGTATACACGACAGGAAGTGGTTGTGTTGCTGTGGTTACCGGGAGCGCACAGAAGAGAGACTTCTCGTATATATATACCCGGCGTAATGCAATCTTGAGAGAAACTCCGTAAGAGAGTCCCGCTTGTCAACGAAGATATATATACAAGACACCTAGGCCATTTGCAAGATTGACTCTAGCGAAAAGCTCTACGCACGTCGGTTGTACTCCGTGTCATATCGAACAACGAATCCGTTTATCGGTAGGGTTTACAATATCGTGAAAATATATAAAAGCCCGAATATTCGACATATTCATATGGGAATAATGCGCGCACACACACACACACGCACATACACAGCGTCGTACCGACGCGTGCTCAACGTATTTTCGCTCGCGTATATCTCGCCGCGCGTGACCCAGAAACTACCGACCGAAAATTTCTTTTCCCCCGTTCTTCCCTCGGATAATCGTGGCGTAAATATCAAGCGCATAAATCAGAGATAACATTTCCATTTCCGGGCGGTATTTATCTTATATCTCTCGTGGATCGCGAGCAAAATATTTACAACGTCTCTCTGCATCGCGTGACGTTGAGCATCTATCGGATGGCATAATACGCGTAATGCATGTCTGGCAGGTTGACACACACACACACACACACACACACGCGCACACACATACATATGTATACATACACAAACGGAACGACACGAGATTTTGTCCGTCGAGAAATCCCGTTCTGATTAAACGAACTGGTTGTGTAAAAAATCTATCAATTTAATCTACTCAGAATCCGCACTGCGCAAAAGTATATTACGATGAACGCGGAAACCACATTACGTTAAAATAATTTTCCGATTTACGATTGGCCGGGACATATCGTGTTGCGCGATGATCGCACCGACCGCTATTATAATTATCGTATTTTCGCGGTGACAATCGACGTAAAATAATATAACAGGAACGCGCCTGAACGGGTGTCGCCGCATCTATTTCCGGATTTGCAAGGGATCCCGACCGCAGCGAGCTTAACAGCCGAGCAGCTGAACTCGCCATGCATTATCGATCCCGCGAGAGAGATTCGCTCGCGGTTCTCTATTGCGCCGATTTAGTATTCGATATCACGTTAAGCGTTTCATATTTTCAATAAAAGTTCACAAGGGATATAAAGCTTCATCCCTAGTAAGTTGCAAAAGAGTAAAGAAAACTCATCCGAGATATCTGTTATCACTTGTGAAGAGTGTTCGACGCGAAAAAAGTTTTCTTTTTCAGCGCATAGAAAGAGATTATTTCTAGTAAATCAATTATCTCCTCTTCTGGGAAGATTGTTGTTTTTTTTTTTTTTCAAACACCATGTCGTCGTACACGACGTGTATAAACACGTACTCGTCTTTGTTATTTGCAAAATTGCCCGAATATCGTCGAGAGAGAGAAATAAACTTCGGGTTCTCTTGAGAGACCCGAAGAAAATCCTCAAGACGAATTAATGTTTGCGAAACTCTTTTACAGACGTCGACGTTAACGCGTTCTTTGATCATCTCGGCCAAGAGTTGATCACGACAACTTGCGTGGGTCTCTTAGAACGGGCCTTTCGTTGCCTTGGGAACGATCTGACCGCCTTTCTGACCACACTCGACGGCGTAAACGATGTTGTCCAGCATCAATCGGGGTCGGACACCGAGGCAGAATTCGTGTGTATCGCCACGCCGGAAGCGCTGGAGCTACACTTCACCACCGACCATCCCTCCATAGCCTATCTCTTGGTCGGCAGTTTGAAGGGAATCGCCAGGAAGTTCTATAACGACAAAGCTGATGTGTACATACTGCCGGATCCCTATAATACGAAATTTTTTAGGTAAATCCTTTTATGAACTCTTTCTTGCTTTTTCGTTTTTATCGCGTTTGACAATTCCCGTTTCTTTCTTTCAAGCGAGATTTTCGTTTTCATCGATGTCACTGATTTCCAATTGTCCGCAGATTTTAATTTCCGTCTCTTTGTTGTGCCGCGTTTTTCCGAAGCTGGCGCAAAGAATGACGTTGAAGAGAGAACGAAGAGAGAAAAATTTTCTAGATCGGCTATCTCCAAACGCCGTAGTAGAAAACACGTAAATTGTTATCAAACGTCACACGCGAGCGAATTTACCATGGCGACGAGAGAGTAGAGAGGTTTCGCGCTGCCTCACTTTGAAGCGACACGATTTTGATTCGACGACGACGGCTGTTCGGCAAATCGGCGAAAAAAAAAAAAAAAAAAAAAAAAAAAACACCACGAGGTTGAATAGCTCGATCTAAACATTTTTTTTTTTTGACAAATACA